AAGCAATGCAGTCCGTCCTGAAAGCCAAGGATGAAATGCAAGCAGCAATGGAGAAAGAGCTCAGGTCACTCAAGGAAACACTCCAGCTGAAGGATGGAGGAGTGCAGGAGACGGAGGCCAAATCGGAAGCCCAAGTTGCAGCTGAGGATAAGGAGGCGGCGGCGAACTGTGACGACCTCCACGATGCAGCGCGAAGCGGCAAGACTGCCGCGGTGCGGCATTTTCTCCGGGAAGATCCAGGTGGTGTGAACAAGAGAGATGAACACAAAAGCACACCGCTGTTTTTAGCAGCACACCGAGGCCACGGTGATGTGGCCCAGTTCCTTCTTGCAGCCCAGGCCAATGTCAATGCTCGAAATGATTTCAATAGCACCCCGCTTGATTGGGCAGCTTCAAACGGCCACGGAGAGGTGGTGAGGATCCTCATCGCAGCTAAGGCCAATATCACTGCCGTTGACAATCATGGGAGGAGACCGCTGCATAACGCAGCGATCGGGGGACACGGTGAGGTGGTCCAGATTCTGGTGGAGGCTGAGCCGAGCACCTCCCACGTGGAAGGCAAAGATGGGGCAGGACAGACAGCTTTGGGCTGGGCAAAGCAGCAGGGTCATCCGGCGGTGCAACAGATCTTGAAAGATGCGGGGGCTCGAAAGTGAGCATGATCATCATGTGAGTGACGGCAGGGTATTTATCACCCAGCACATTGAATGCTTGCTGGTCAGCCATTCGTTGTTTTCGCTGAATGCAGCTGCGTGTGACAGTCTTAGACTGGACAATCTCGTGCTGATTGGAAGAAAGCAAATTCAAAAAGATACATCAGACATCATCACACGCATCGTTTGCGATGGGGTTCTCCTTTCGTTTCGCGTGGGAATCGTGCTGCTGGCCCCACTGCTGGCTGTCGGGGTAGCTGTCGGGTGGGATGGGAATCTTCTGTCAGGCGCTGATCCAAACTCAGCTGGGCGCATTTGTGGTTCCTTCCAAGGCGGAGGGCACTAATCCGCGGTACTCGCTGAAGACTTGATCCAATCAATCCAATCACAGCCCGTTTGCTTTTTGCCCGTTGGCCAACTGGCTGCCCAATAGTTGAGACATAGAAAGGCTGGATGGATGGCACCTGCCTGGTAGGTCGTGCATGTATTTATTGGAAAGGGCGTGGTTTTGTTCACTTTCAAATGGAACAAGTTACTTGCAGCCCCAGCAAGCAAATCTGCGATTCCTATACCAAATCAAATGTATGCTTTGTTTCCCAGGTGCATGTGGAGGATGAAGACTTTGATTTTGAGCAAGAAGAGCCAGCACCTGAACATCCCTGCATGCCCTGAATGAAAGGAACCGCGGACAGAAGCTCAGAGGAACTCCTACGTGATCAAGAAGACTGACTGTCATCAACGTGGCATCTCAATTTGCGGCGCAATATGCCATTCATAGTAATAGAGGGAAGCCCCATTTAGTAAATGGCCAAGTCAAGTTTGATTCGTGACGAGCTCTCATGGCCACAATCCCGCTCTCACATTCCCTTACTTTGATTTGATTCCCCCTGCTTTGACAATTTGTTTTCTTCTCGATAGTATGCCCCCTTTGGGAGAGTGGCAACATTTTCACATGGGCACCCAGCCTACCCTCACTCCATATTTTCACGACAAACTTTCCCAGCCCAGCGCAACTCTTTGCTTGTTGACCAAGAGGCATTCGTGTTTGGTCACTTCCCCTGCCCAAGGTTCTTCGATCGCTGGAATGCTGCGGATGGAGATCTGGATGAGGATGGGCCTTGGCGTGCCAGGTCACCAAGTCAGTTGGCAAAATCTTTCGAAGGTCATGAGCTGTTGTTATGGTTATGATCGTGAAAGTAGTCAACACACAGCTCAAGAAGAAGAGGCCCGTGGCCACCCAGCCGTGGGGCATTCCGGCGCTTTGTTCGATCAGAAGATCCCTGAAGAAACACAGGGAACAACGGCCTAACCTGGGCAACGGCCTCAACGAAAAGACTCCGGGCAGGGAGCATGACTCCTAGTTGTATCATGGTTCGCACACACAATTTTTACTGCTACTTTACTGCATTTGCTGAAGAATCCTTTGATTGAATGTCCAAGTTTTCATGCATTGCTTCTGCAGGAGGAGGACGTGGTCGTGAACGTGGACACGGTCTTTGCAATTCTGCCAATCCAGCCATGATTTTGTGGGACTGAAATATACCGCATTGATGCCCTACCTGACTGGGTTCTGCGTCGTTTTGCTACTCCTCTCCAAGACCAGGAACGATGTGGATATATGAACCTACACACCGGCCCGGCTACATTTAGCTCAGCTGATCGCAGTAGAAACATGCCAGAAAGTCACAAGTGTTCTCCCGATTGACGAATTGTTGCTTCTTAAAAGCCGGACACAATCGAGTTCAAGTACGGTCCAACCTGCATGACGCACTACACACCCGCTTTTTCGGTTTGTGTCACCTTTTTTGATTGGCAAGTTGGCTGAGGCGATTCAGCTAGCAGTTGTACTGGTAGCAGCTCTGGATCCGGTACACATCACTTGCGTTGAATGAGATCAGGATAGGGATACAGAATGATATGTCTCCAGCCACTAGCCAGCCCGTCATTCGGCTACAGATCTTTCAACGCTGCACTCGGGCTTCACGTCTCGGCTTAAGCTGCTGCTGTTGGGGAGGAGGCTCCTTTTGAGTTCCTGAGGAGCGCTTCTTCTGATGCTCAGCCACCTGTTCCCATGTGTTTCAAGGTGCTTGGGGACGGTTTAGTGTGCATGTGCTTGCTCATCTGTTGATCAACGGTGATCAAGAGAACATGCCTTGGCAGGACGCCTGGCGCGACTTCAGTGTTCCAATTTTCCGCAGATCCGATGCTGGCCATGGATCAGGCGAATTGACGTGAGAGGAGCACGAGTGGCTGAGTAGATTCAATTGAATCTACACTTCCTGGAATTCATTCGGAAACCACCGAGGGAAAACGGTCACCAACGAGGCATTTTCCACTTCCTTTCAGGGAGTGTTGAGAGTTCGAAGGGGCATACTGCAACTGGATCGACCCTTTCCGGTCCCAGACACCGTCTACCTTTCTCTGGCTCCCAGGCCATGGAGCAAAGCCCTGCCAGCGGGCTGTTCTTAGCGCGGATGCCTAGACTCGGGTTCTCGATTCTCCACGAGCAAGACCGCCTTCGTTGAATTGCCTTAGACAGTGGAAACAACGGTGCAAGCTCTGCCCTGAGTCCCGGCTCCTTAGTTCTATCAAAGGCAATCCAAGTTTCAAAAGCCATACGGAAGCGTCCGGATACGAATGTGAAGAGACTCTTTTGCTCGTTGTTTCTTTTTGGCCACACTCTTTCTGCTCGTCGCGAGTCTGTTGGCAGCCCGACTTTCAAATACCCCGCCATGGCTCGGTTGACCCCTTGGCCAAGGGCGTAGCGTGGGTGATTGGTTTCGGTGGTATCAGCAGTCTTGGCCTGAGGTTTGCTGTCTTCTGATCGCGGTCTTTGGTTTCCTTCTTGCGTGGGCTCCAAGTAGCATGTCGTATATGCATATCGATGCATGTCCAATGTTCTAGTTTCTAGCATACATATGGCGTAATCAGTTATTGAGGGGCAGGTTTGCAGTGCTTGAAACCTTCCGGCGTGCGCATCTGAGACAAACTAGAGGCACAAAGTATGTTTCTTCCGTGCTTCGTGAACACTGGCCCTTGGGAGGCTCCGTGAAGTCGTCAGCATGACTTGCTGGGATGTTTGGACCACTGGTGAATTTGTCTTGGCCAATAATCCACTCCCTTCAAACGTGAGAAAACGACGGCCGAGATCGCCTAAACCCGGTTTGTCAGACTTTTAGTAAAATTTAGTAAATGGCCCTGAGCAGCTGCTAGTAGAACCTAGAGGAGGCCAGGCCCGATGACCTTCCATTTCGTGCCGTTTCGACCTTGCAACACCCAACACCGAACGACTGAGACTTGCGCGCGAAAACCGTCCATGAGGCCCATCTGGAAGGCGACCCGAAAGGTGGTTATAGCAACGCACCCACCTCGCACCTTCACGAATGCCGGGGTGCCTCAGAGGTCGGGGAGGCTTCATAGTGCCCCCCAGTGAAACTCATACAATGTCTTGCCATGTCCTGCCATGTATTGCCCACAAACAAGGTAGAAAGCCTAACCTAGGTGCTCTTGGTGAGATAGCGATCAACATGCATCTCATCCCGCTGCAAGCATTGAATCTCATGTCATGTCGTTCGTGAAATTCACGAGCTTCATGACATGTGACGGACCCCCTCGCACCAG